GTACACACATATTAAGTTTTATTCTATTTCATGCATAAAAATATTTATCAGAAGAAATTTTAAGCTACTTACAGAATAATTCTTTATTTTTAACCAGATTAATGCATCACTTGGGGGTAAATGTTCACAAAAGAGGCTAAATGACAAACTCKGTAACATTAAAGCAATTATAATTTTGACAGCAATATTTTCACTTCAACTCTAGTGTTTCTACATTACAAACTTCAGGTTATTTACTAAAATACAGTTTCTATCAGTCAGGTTACAATGATATAGTCATAATATTTGTTTTAATACAAAGATGGCTAATTTTCATGCAAGCACAGGAAGCCCAATAAATGAATAATCATTTGTTTGAGAAAAGGAGATCCAGTCTGGGTCGGCTGTTAGTTCAGTTTCCGTAAGGCTTCACACAATTTCCCCAGTTCACCTGAAGGAAAGGAAAAGAAATGAATCCAAGCTGAAAAAAGAGACTCATGACAAGATTTCATAATCAGGCAGTGAGATAAACCCCCCCCCTCCTGTGTTCTGCTCGGTCAGCTGGTTAATAACCCACTGACCGATAAAGCTTCACGCTGTGTGTGTGTGTGTGTGTGTGTGTGTGTGTGTGGTGTGTGTGTGTGTGTGTGTGTGTGTGTGTGGTGTGTGTGTGTGAACTTACTGTGGTGTTTTTATATTATTAGTCACAGTTTTCTGCATTCTAATGAAAAAAAGGGATTCTTAAAATAAATCTGAGAGACAACAAGATTATGTTTTTTCTAAGAACAAATGGGGAGGTTTAAATATTAAAATATACGAACATTAAGTTTTTCTTAAGCAGTGAAGTAATGATTGCTATAAATGTCTTGGTACATAAATGGAAGGTGATTCACAATAATCAGGTTTTAAAAACTTTAAAATAACTTGCAGTGCAGTTTGATGAATTTACTAAGTTTGGATTTTATTATAAGAAATAAGGTGCATTGTCACTGCAGTCAAAACAAAATTATTTTTACTAATTTGTAACTAATTGTAGCTACAGATATTTTTCCTGCAAAACTGAGCTAGTGAAGTTCAGGTGTATTCAACTGGCGGTCCGCGGGCCACTTCTTGCTCATGGGTGACATCAGTTCGGCCTGCCGATGAGTTCATTAAGAAAATATATAAATATATATTTTACAACTGAATGAAAAATATATGCCTGAAAATGACTATTTAATATAAAAATGGATTTTAAATTTCAAAATGTTTTATTTTATTATATAATTGCTGGGTGTTCGGCTGTTGGCTTTTAGTAACTGTGGCCCCCTGCACAATTTAGTTTGAAAACATTAGTCCCCCTTGCTACCCCGAGACCTTTACTTTGCTATTTTGAGAATTCTTTAAGAAGATATTTTTACCACTTTTTCTAAAGTATAAAAGCTGAATTTCCCATGCCATGCCACTAGRTGGCGATAACATCCGAAATAAAGAAAAAAATTAATTGAAACAAAAAAGAAAAAACTTTAAAGTGTAGCACGCTTTTTTGGCTGCGTCATAAAATCCGCCCTTTAAAATCTAATTGAATTTTATCTAGCCTTAAATGTAGTTGTAATGTAATGTAAAAAAACAGTTTGACAGAAAGTCAACAAATTTGGGGAACATAAAAAAATAAATATCTCTGTTACCGTGGATGCAGTCAGCCAGGTTGGTGAGCTGGTGGGTGTTGTCCAGGACTTCGATGCTCTGGGTGTACGGGTTGTAGCGAACTGAAAAAGGCCTGGGTATGGTGGAYGCAAATTTCCTGTTGACAACAACAAAAAACATTCTCAGCATCTAGTTTAACCACCTTGTTCATACGGTAAAAGTGTATGATCTTACCTGACTTTCTCTTTGGCATCCTCGAAGCTCTCAGCCACAAAGTATACAGGCTGGTACTCTGTGATCGGGTATTTCTGCAGGCTGGTTTTCTCAGGGTCGAAGTCCTGAAGYTTGGGTGTGTCTGTGAGACAGTACTGAAAGAGAACAGAAAATAAGATTTTACACAGATTGTGCGGATTCAGATTTTCTCAATGAGCGTCTCTTCCTGTAAGCAGGAAGTGCTTTTGATTTGTCTGAGGGAACATCCTCTGTGATGTAACCTGTGACCTCGATAGTGAGCTGCTCATCCTTTTTCTGCCTCCGCTCACCCACTGAACCACTTCACCGGCACCCCGCTGGCCAGGCAGCCCGACTCCCCCAGTGACACATTAAACCTGAGTGGACCACTAACCCACTCCCTGCTCTGCCGCTGCTGCTGTTGTGCAACAGGACGAAGGTGATGTAACACTAGTTCCTCGTACCTTCAGCTCTCCGAATGATGACAGCAGGCCGGCTCCGTAAGCTTTGATCTCAGAGCCCTGCTTACACAGACCGAACTCCACGGTGAACCAGTACACCTGAGGAAACACAAGGTTCAGAAATGTGACCCATCCACTAAAGGAAAAAAAAACTCATCAAAACTAAACCGAAGGAAGTTTGCTGTACGAGTTTTCTTTGAATCCATGCTTTAAAAGGACAGTTCAGACCTTTTAAAGTGGAGTTCCTCTGGTTATTCCAGCTGAAATATAATATTCTTACAGGAGAGGTGTCAGGCTCAGATACAAAAGGAAAAAAAAACTCATCAAAACTAAACCGAAGGAAGTTTGCTGTACGAGTTTTCTTTGAATCCATGCTTTAAAAGGACAGTTCAGACCTTTTC